GCTCACCGCAACCTCCGCCTCCTGGGTTCAGGCAATTCTCCTGCCTCAGCCTCCCGAGTAGCTGGGATTACAGGCATGCGTATGTTGATCTAGCTCAAGCAAAGTGTTGTTTCCTGTGAGGTTATTAAAGATTTCTATAAGGCAAGGAAGTTTGGAGAATTTTAAAATGACATGAATTCTTGACAAATACAGAGTGATTGCATCAGAAGTGTAAGTGGCTAAACTAAGAGAAGATGAGGTTTCCTGGAGTTTATATCCAAAGCATATCTTTGAGGCATGTCAACACTACTTCCCCAGTTTTGTTTATGAAATATTTTAACACCTTTCTAGCTACATAGTGCAAAAGCAGCTTCTTTGTGAATTTTATTTTAGAGGAAGATAGAAAAGTTCTGTGGAAGCTGGCAAGATATAAAAGGGTTTTCTTAGAAAATATAGACAAATATCACAATAGGACTAGAAATGGTGACAATCTGCTCTCCCTCTAGGGTTACTGTGTCACTTGTATACCTGTCCATTCCCAACTTTCCAGTTGGGAATGAACTTTATTGAGATTAGGTATCCACCATTAACTTTTTGGAGTGGTTAGAAGAAAGACATTTTGGCCAGAAGGATTGTGAAACTGGGAGACCCTGTTTCTTGCCATATTGAGGGAGTCCTATTCTACTATGAGACTCTAAGAACTTTGCAATGAAGAAAGAGATAGATTTTTTGGTTAACTTAATCAAATTACAGTTGACTCTTTGTATTTATGGGTTCTGCATCTGTGGATTCAACCACCTACAGATAAAAAATAATTGGACAAAAAACAATAAATAAAAATATAATACACACATTTTTAAAAATACAGTATAACAACCTACTATAGTATAATACATGTGTAAATAGTTGTATTAAGTATTATAAGTAATCTAAAGCTGATTTAAAGTATACAGGAGGGTGTGTGTCGGTTATATGCAAACACTACACTTTTTTTTATCAGGGGTTTGCGCATTCATGGATTTAGTATCCACAGAGGCCCTAGAATCAATCCTCTGTGGATACCAAGGGACATCTGTATTGCTTATAAAGTTGATTACTTATTACAGATTTGTCTTGGTTTTAAAAATGGTTTTCACTTTCACGTTATACCTAATTCATATTTATTTATATTGTTGGAGGGCAATGCTGGTAGGAGAGGAAGACACTTATTTTTGGAATTGGGATCATACATTTTATAACCTATTGCAGAGAGAGAAAATTTGTGGTGTTTTTAACCATTCTTTATTAAAACAAGATTGAAGGGCAGCATCAATTTCAATAATTTCATGTAATTTCCATTTATTTTATTTCCTAAAGGAGTTGAATTATATGACATTTGCACAGCTACCAGTTTTATACTACCAAACACAATAGATTATGAAATTATTCTTTAAATGAAGTCCCTCTGTAGCCTTCCAATAACTAGCTACCCACCAACCCTGGTGCCATGGTGATCGTGGAGATATCTGGATACCCATGATACCATAGCACTATTATCCAAAATTTGTGTCCTAATATGTCAGTCCATAACGCTGTATGACAGACTGCTCTTATTTCTGTATACACCACTGTATTTTCAATTTAAAGACAGAAATGAACGCTAGATGAGTTACTATGATTTAGGATCACTTGTATACTCCCCCACCTTCCCAAAAGAAACTCCATAATATTTTATAAATCCAGGTGTGGCTTTAATTACAAGATCTACTTTTTTAAAGAAAATTATTCATCATTTTTTAAAATATTTAACACACTTTCCACTTATTCCACCCCACCTAACCTTTAGGGTTTTGTATCTGTACCTGGTACCAACTGGTCAGCTTTCTGCCAAGACTGCCTTTAATACACTGTCAGCTCACTTCATGAGTTCCTGAGAACAGTTAAAGTTGATCCAACAGCCAGTTGTTCAAAGATTCTATTGAGAGTAGTTTATTTTATTCTTGAGCATCTGTAAAGATATGCGCCATTGCGAATTAAGCCTTTTTAGTGACAGAGTAGATGATGACAGAACCCCATCAGCCTTATCAGGAGAAGTTCCCTGACCTCATTATTGCTAATGGATCCATGCTAATTCAGCCTGTTGTGAAATCTCATGTTCAATTATGCAGGATAATGAGTGACTCAAAACTTAATATGTCTCAGCTATCGTCCTTATGATAGGACTTATACAGCTTCTTTCAAAGGTGAAACTAGGTTTTAAGTAGAATGGTTCACTTTTATGTCCAAACAGAAGTTATCACTAATATTCAGATGACCTGATTTTAAAATAAGACAGAATTGCTCTATAACTTTATATTTCACTGATCCTTTTGTAGGAAAGTTAGGACAGGCTTATTCATTTTTAAGTGTTAATTCTGGAATTCTAAAAGTATGCAAATGGCATTTGTCTTTGGATTCACAAAAACTCTAGATATTCAGTTTGAATTATTTAAACTCCCACAACACATGCACTTTTGCTTTTCAAGCATGAGTTATAATTTAATTAAAAACTTCTGGTGCATTGCTAGTAGTTTAAATATTAATATGTTCCATGGATCACTTTCGATTATCTACTGTCTTGAAATTCTTGAAGATGTCAGATTTTTAAGATTCCCAAAGTTGCACTTGGAATTGTCTGTTGAGGCAAAGGGGACTGTGATAATTACACACATCCATTAGGATCAGCAGAGGAGATAAACTTTGGGGAGGCTTAATGGGCATGTCTCAGTGACAGCTAGCAAAGAGCATTTGGCATGATTAAGGATGGATTTGAATGCAGTTGAAAACATACTCTCATTATGGACACCCAGTGGAAGTTGCACTACAAATGTTAAATTCCCCAGAAGAAGAGTAGTGTGGCAGGGAAGCTTTGAAATCCACTGTGGCCATCAACCAAATTATTCTCTTTCCTTTATGTCTTTCTGCTGTCAAAATCACTTTGTGATGCCCAGCTCAACTCCCTACATCTCTGAAAAGAGGCAACCTGTTGATCTCTATATTTCAGATTGTCCGAAGATACATTAAGGATTGGCTTGAGAGAAAGAAGCCTCCTTTTGGTGCTATCAGCAGCAGTGTGCTTCTCATGATTATCTACACAACCTTCTGTGACACGTTCTCTAACCCAAATATTGACCTGGATAAATTCAGCCTTGTTCTCATACTGGTCATAAGTAAGTTGGAAAATGGGATAGCCTGTCTATCCCTCAGTCTCCTCAATAGCAATGCATAGCAATGTGTGTTCTCTAAATTCATGTCTAGTGTTAATTTGACTAGAAATGAATGCTTAATTTTATATTACATTTACTCAGTGACTCTATCATATGTACTTGTTTTTTTAAGAAACAGTTTTACATTTATATCTTAATTTCCTTTGTTTTTGAGTCTGCTGCCCCATTTTCTGATTTACAGTCATTGATATCAGATGAGAGAAGCCTTAATTTCTGTCAGATGCAAATGTTAGATTGAGCACTGTGTCATCAATTTAGTTTATTATAACTTTAAATTGATCTTACCCCTTATTGTGATTTAAAAACAGGATTTATAATATATGATATTATTATTCCTAAGTATAATAACTTGGCTACATTGGTTCAAATGTGAATATTTACATCATGTTTTCTAATAAAATTTACCCAAAGTGATATCATTTCATTTTGAGAAGCAGCAGACTACAAAATGCAGGAAACTGCTAAAGCTCAAAAAGCAACCTTTTGTTCTATTTATCCTATAATCACAAAGACAACTCTTACTAATGTTGTAATATTGAAGAATCTTCTGTTATTCTAAAGTATATTATATACTACTACATTAATGGTATTTGCTAGAAATATTCATAGTATAAACCAGCTCTTTCTAAATTGTCCAAATTAAATAACCAAATCTTAAAGAGGCTTTAGGTTTTTCTTCAGTAACAAAGAGTGTGTCTGGGGATATCATCAATAAGAACAGACTGAGTCCTGCTAATTTAAGTGATTATTTCAATTTAGCAAGGTATGCTTGTTTGGTTTATTTGTTTGTTTTTCTTTTTTAGTTCCTATAAGTTTCAGATAAAACAAGTATACCAATAAGTACGCTACAAATACTGCTTTTAGAGTGCTAATTTAGATTCAATCTTTTTTTCTTCAGTATTTTCTATCCAGCTGAGTTTTATGCTTTTAACCTTCGTCTTTTCAACAAGGTAAGTGATTTGGTATCTCTTGCTGTTGTTAGTTTTCTAAATAAGGAATCATGCTCTCTACTTGGTTATATGCCACTATGCACTTACGTATTTTTTTTCCTCCTGTCTCCCTGACCATTCTGCCTCTCTTTTGCCACCCTCAAATTGTAGACATTACAAAGGGTCTTTCCTTGGCCTTGTTTCATCTATCCACATCGTGTGCTTAAGCAGGTCCTTCCTTTCTACTGGCTTGAGCTGTTAGCTTCATACTGATGATTTTCAAGTATACACCATTCACTGCAATGATTTTTTTTTTTTTGAGTTTGAACCCTATTTTTCAATTACCATTTAGATATCTTTACTTGACTGTCTTAATAAGACCTTAGACTCAAGATATTCAAAATGGAGTTAATGTTTTTCCCAAAAACTGCCTCTTTCTCTCTTATTTCTTTCCTTATATTTAGTGGAACCACTATCCTCAGAGTTCCTCAAACTGGAATCCTTCACATCATTATTTTTAAATTTCTCGATCCTACTTCTGTAATATTTTTCCTGCTCGCAAGGCCACTTCCTTAATTCAGGTTCTTGTTCTGTTTCTCTCTAGGCTGTTTCAATGGCTATCTTACTGGTAATTCCATTTCTAGACCCAATTTTCATTATGCATTTCATGGTGCTTCCAATGACTAGAATTCTGATAATGGCTCTCTGGTTCAGATATCTTCAATGGTTATCCACTGCCTGTAGAATGAAGTTTATTTTGGGTGACAAGGTCCTCTAGTCTATTTTCCAGTCTCATGAACCAATACTACTGTTTATGCTAAGCTTTAGATTGATGTAAAATCTTTGCTGCTCCCTGCAAGAACCTCATGCTTTCTCATTTCTGTCCCTTGCTTAGGCAGCTCCCATATCCAAATTCATCACGGTGTCCTGGTTCCTCCTTCCTGTTCCTAAAAGCTCACCTCAAATGCAAATTTTTTCACCTTTATTATGCATTACAAATATTACTCAAACTTTTGGTTAGAGAAAGTCACCACGGGTAATGCCACAAGTAAGAGGTGATTTCAGTCTTGCACTGATAACAAAGTGTCCTCTGCTTGGTACAGTAAGCCAACCTGTATTCAATTCAAAGAATAAGAATGCACTTCCCAAGAGAGTATAGAGCAAGGACTCATGGAAATGATGGGGCATGACCTGAGCCATGCAGAATGGCTAAATGTTCAGCAGTCAGAGATGCCAAGAGGGAGTTCTTGGTGGAAGAAGATGCAATAATGCAAATGTGGACACATAAAAACAAGATACAGTGAGACAATAGGAGTAGAGGAAGATTGGAAATAGTAATAGTAACTGAAAAGGTAGGTTTGAGCCAGATTGCAAAGCCCGTGAACACCAGGCAGTACCAATGAGTAACCACAAGGGAAAGAGCCTATGCTGTTCCTAAGTCTTGAAAAAGCATCAGTGCAGTGGATGGTGCAGGCCTCACATTAGGCACTTGGCTCTCACAGCACTTGGTATAGCACTAGGCTGATTGTAAACAGTCAATAAAAACTTATTGATTGATGTAATTTGAAGCATTTTCCCAAGCTTGAGGTTGTGATTTATGAAGTAAGAGTAAAGCCTGGAGCCATTAAGTCACAGAGAAAGTGTGACTTAATTGGGTAAGCCTGAGAGCAGGAGCTATATTAAAATTCTTTTTGTAAATGCCTTGTTATATCACCTTAGAAAAGACATTTGCCTTTCAGTGGCAGTTTGTTTGCTGGTCCTTATGGCAAAAGTGATAATCAGACCCACTCATCCTATCAGATGAGGTAGGATGCAGACATCCTGCTAGTGACTGAAAATTTTCTTGAAAAATAGAGCACAGAAGAGCATAGAACAGCCACTACTGGACTGCTAAAGGAGACATGGGTGGCAGAGGTATTACACCTCGTTGAACTAAAATTGAGAATTTCCAGCATAGAGTAGACTGGACTTTCATAAGGCTCTGTGATTTTTAAATCCTTCTTTTCTTTCTTATTCTGCACTTACTGAGGTTCTTTCAGGGTTTTGTTTTGTTTTGTTTTGTTTTGTTTTGTTTTGTTTTGTTTTGTGAGACAGGGGCTTGCTTTGTCACCCAGGCTGGAATGCAGTGATGCCATCATAGCTTGCTGCAGCCTCAAACTCCTGGGCTCAAGTGATCCTCCCGCCTCAGCCTCCTAAGTTAGCTGAGACTACATGCAAACACCACCATGCTTGGCTAACTTGTAATTTTTTTGTAGAGACAAGCTCTTGCTATTGCCCAGGCTGTTCTTAAACTCCTGGACTCAAGTGATCCTCCCGCCTTGGCCCCCCCAAAGTGCTGGGACTATAGGTGTGATTCACCATGACTAGCCATCTGTCAGGTATTTAACTTCCCTGACCTACAGTGAAACCTACACCTTCTTTGATAAACAACAGCATATAGAACTTCTGTAATCATGCTCCAGAGTAAAGGTTGCATAGCCACACAATATTCCATTATAATAAGGGAATTTTTCAATGAACATATTTAAAAGATGGTTTTCATATTCTATTTTCATGTTTAGAAACCCTATAACTCCTAAGGATTTTATTGGAGGAATGAAAGATGTGAATATTTATTAAACCCTGCTCCATGGCAGGCATTCTCTTAGGGATTATACATGTTATTTCATGTAAATGTGACAGCAAAAACTGTAGTACTATGAATTTTTATTGCTATTTTGGTAGTTGAGGACCTGTGCTCAGAGTAGTTTAGTAATCTGCCTAAAATAGTTTAGTAACGTAACCAAAATCAGATAGAAAATAGGACACCTAGAATTGACATCCATTTCCATTTGACATTTCCAAAAGCATTTGCCCAGGCCTTTTCCACTGGAAGCTATTTCAATTACTTTTTTTATTATTAAGATTTTACTTTAAGTTCTGGGTAGATGTGCAGAACGTGCAGGTTTGTAACATAGGTATACATGTGCTGTTTGGTTTGCTGCACCTATCAACTCGTCATCTAGGTTTTAAACCCTGCATTGTCCTAATGCTCTCCCTACCCTTCCCCCACAACCCCCAAAAGGCCCTGGTGTGTGATGTTCCCCTCCCTGTGTCTGTGAGTTCTCATTGTTTAACTCCCGCCAATGAGTGAGAACATGTGGTGTTTGAATACTTGTTTTCATTAGGGAATTTGTAAAGAGTATTTGACTACACTCTTCAAGTTCATACACAAACAAGTTAATCAAAGATACCAGGACCTACCTGTTTATACTCTGCTGAGTTCCATTTTCTTTTCCTACTTTTTCTTCCTTCCTGCAGAGGGCAATTAGTGAAACTGTGTATGTGCGTGTGTGCACACATGCACTTTTCTTTCTTTCTTTTCAGTTTTCTCTTACCAATTTGGTAAATCTAAAGTCAATTTGGGTATCAAAAGACAAAATTCTCAGCATGAAAATCCATCTGTCTTTAGTGTGTGTCTGTGTAGCATGCTACTATACTCTGATGATGGAAGTTTAGCATAAAACCAGGAGACACCCAGCCTGGAAAATTCAACTTTCCTGCAACACGCTGCTTACCTGGTTAGCATTTCTTAGATTTACCAACTTAATGTGTTACCATGCTAGTGAGTATTTAAAATAGATATGAGAGTTATTACTCTGTGTTCTTGTTTATTCGTCTACAGAATAGTGTCAGAGTTAAAAATTCAAACTCTGGAACCAAACAGACTTGAGCTTCAGATCTACTTAATAACTTTGTTACTTTTGTCATTTTCCTTACGTATAAAATGGAGGTAGTAGTAGCACCTATCTCACAGGATTATTTGGAGAATTAAATAGTGTGCACATAAAGTCTTCAGCATAATACTAGCATATAGCAAGTGCTCAATAAATGTTGGCTACTACAGAATATTTATTACACCGAACTAACTTATATTATATTAAAAACTAATGATCAGGACAGACACAGTGGCTCACACCTGTAATCTCAGAACTTTGGGAAGCCGAGGCAGGTAGATCACTTGAGATCAGGAGTTTGAGACCAGCCTGACCAACATAGCGAAATCTCATCTCTACTAAAGATACAAAAATTAGCCCGGAGTGATGGCATGTTCCTGTAATCCCAGCTACTCCAGAGGCTAAGACAGGAGAATCGCTTGAACCCAGGATGCGCAGGTTGCAGTGAGCTGAGATCACACCACTGCACTCCAGCCTGGATGACAGAGTGAGACTCGTCGTCTCAAAACAAACAAACAAAAAAACAACTAATGATCAGAGTTGGGGCATTAGCTTTGCTAGCTTTGTAATACATTATTTTTAAATTTTCTCTGTCTCAAATGCTAGGAAATGAGTTGATTCATCAAGCCAAGAGTCAGCTATCCAATGACGTAACCATTCTGCAACTTTGGGAAACTGCAAATTAAAAAAAAAAAAAAAATTGTTGAAAGAGCTTAGAAAAGGAAAGCAGTAACTGGGAATATTTTTAAAATATATAAAAAGTTTGATAGCCTGATAACTAAAGTAACAGAAAACTATATTGTCATTAGAGTGACCAAAGAAACTGTTAATAAAACAAATATTCAAATATTTGTGTATGTGTTTTAATTCTGATCAGTACATTTCCAGTAAGATATCTCAATCCGCCTTTCATGATAGCCCTGGGAGAAGCAGGATGGGAGAGGGGGAAAGGGAAGCAGAGAAGATGGGACCATAATTAATGGTAAGTTTCCTTACCATTTCAGAGGAGGCTACTAAGCTTTGGCACCCTGGGTAAACTTGTTGAGTGCTACACAGCTAAAAATGGAAGAAGTCTTCTCTGAAAATGAGCAGAGACAAAACACAGGTACAGAAGTTAACAAAGGAGGAGCTTCACATGGAAGTTTTCTCCTCTGAAAATAGTGGGCTTAAACAGAAGTATCTCAAAGGACCTTTTCTGCTCTGCATTCTGTGATTCTACTAGTAAAACCTGACATGTTTTCCTTTGTGGGTACTGCAAAGGAAGGCGAAGTAAACATTCTGTGGAAAACACTGATTGAAAGCTTT